GCAAATGTTTAATGACATGTGTCCACCATTACAATATCATACTGAAGAGCTTCACTCCCCTAAAAATTCCCTCCTCTACTCCCCCAAACCCTGACCACCACTTCTCTCAACTATTGCTGGATCGTCGCCTTTTCTGGCGTGTCGTATAGCCAGAATCATACAGGATTTGGTCTTTTTCAGACTGCCCTTTCTCCCTTAGCACTATGCACGTAAGGTTTCTCCAGGCCTTTTTATGACTTAATAGCTCTTTCGTGGTTTTGGTGAATAATGGCCCATTGTATGGATGTATCAGAGTTAGATCCATTCATTCATGTATCAAAGGACATCTGGGTTGCTTCCAACTTTTGGCATCATGAATGAAGCTGCTTTACATGCTCATGTGTAGATTTTATGTGGACGTAACTTTTCATCTCAGTTGGGTCAATACTGATTGCTGAATCATGAGTTAAGACTAGGTTTAGCTTTGTAAAAAACTGCCAGAACATCTTCCCAAGTGGCTGTGTACTATTTTACTTTCCTGCCAGTAATCAGTGAGAGTTCCTTTTGTTCCACATCCTTATCATCGTTTGGTGGTCAGTTTTTTGGGTTTTATCCATTCTTGCAGGTGTGTAGTGGTATTTTACTGTTTTAACTTGCAGTGTTCTAATGATGTGATACTGAGCATTATATGTGCTTTTTACCATCTGGTTTTTTTTGTTTTTTTTTTTTGTGTGTGGGGGTACAGGGTCTTGCTGTGTTGCCCAGGCTGGAATGCATTGGCTCCATCTCTGCTCACCACAACCTCTGCTTCCCGGGTTCAAGTGATTCTCCTGCCTCAGCCTCCCAAGTAGCTGGGATTACAGGCGCGTACCACCACGCCCAGCTCATTTTTTGTATTTTTAGTAGAGACGGGGTTTCACCATGTTGGTCAGGCTGGTCTCGGAACTCCTGACCTCGTGATCCACCCGCCTCGGCCTCCCAAAGTGCTGGGATTATATGAGCGACTGCACTCGGCCCTGCCATCTGTTTATCTTCTTTGGTGAAGTCTCTAGATCTTTTGCCCATTTTTTAATTTGGGTTGTTTTTTCTCTTATTGCATTTTAAGAGTTGTTTGTTTTGGTTACAAGTCCTTTATCAGAGATAGTTTTAGAAATACTTTCTCCCAGCCTGTGGATTGACTTTTCATTCTCTTTACAGTATTTTTCACAGGACAGAAGTTTTAAATTTCAATAAAGTCCAAATTAATTTTTTCTGTCATGGATGATGCTTTTGGTGTTGTATTTAAAAACTCATTGCCAAACCCAAGGCACCTGGATTGTCTCCTGTGGTATCTTCTAGAAGTTTTACAGTTTGACAGTTTATATTTAGGCCTGTGATTAATTTTAAGTTAATTTTTATGAAATTTGCGAGGTCATTGTACAGATTAGTATTTTTGCATATAAGTGTCCAGTTGTGCCAGTACCATTTGTTTGTTACAATATCCTTTTTTCCTTTAATTGTTTTTGCTTCTTTATTACTGTAACTTTAGAGGAAGTCTTGAAGTCAGGTAGTGTTAGTCCTGACAATATTGCTTGGCTTTTCTAGGTCTTTGGCCATCCCGTATAACCTTGAAAATCAGTTTATTGATATCCACAAAGTAACCTGTTGAGATTTTAGTGGATTTTTAAAATTGTAAAATACATGTAACATGAAGTTTATAATTTTAACCATATAATTGTGTGCGGGCATTTTTAACTTCATACTCAAGTAGTTCAGGGCTGCTGTAGAGGAATGCAACTAGCTTTTTATGTACACTAACCTTATATCCTGCAACCTTGTCATAATGCTTATCGGCTCTAGGAGGGGTTATTTTTATTCTTTGGGATTTTCTACATAGATAATCATGTCATCTACGAACAAAAACAGTTTTATTCCTTCCCTTCAAATCTCTATGCCTCTTATATTCTTGTCTTACTGCATTAGCTAAGACTTCAAGTATGATACTGAAGAAGAGTGATGAGTGGGGATTTCCTTGTCTTGTTCCCAATCTTATGGGGAAAGCTCCTGGCCTCTCCCATTAAGTCAAGGTTTTTGTATTTTGTTTTTTAGCAGGTTGAAGAAGTTCTCTATTCCTAGTTTGCTGAGAGACTTTATCATGAATGGGTGTTAGATTTTGTTGGATGCTTTTTCTGCACCTATTGATTGTATGCTTTTTTCTTCTTTAACCTGTTGACGTAACCTGTTGGTGTATTGATTTTTAAATATTAAACCAGCTTTGCATACCTGGAGTCAATCCCACTTAGTGACAGTGTATAATTATTTTTAATACATTGTTGGATTTGATTTGCTAATACACCGTTGAGGATTTTTGCATCTAATCTATGCTCATGAGCGATATTAGTCACCGTCCACCGAGGTCATTCAATTAGAGAAACCTTAAATCATTCTTATTGTTTTCCTTTCTACTATGAATGTACATGTGAAGAAGTTAAATGCTCGCAAATCTAGTCTCCTATTGCTTTGCTGGCATCTTTGTCCAGGTTCTTGAGGTCTCTCGTGAGGCTGCGGCAGCCTATGTCCCCATGTTTTCAATGTTCATCAAAACTCCAACCTCATTTTACGCTTGTCACTGCCATCTGAGATACTTTGCTGAAATACTAAACTGATTTGTGAGCTTATAAACATTCATTTCCGTACTAACCTACAAATAAGATTTAAACTGATTTGCTTTTTTTAATATTTAAAAATATTAATTATTTAAAGTAACAAACCCAGCTCATGTCTCCAGCTTCCCCTTCTCCATTTCTCACTCTTCCCTGAACATGAATCCTCTTAAAATGACATCCCGTTCCTGAGAATCCCCTCCTTAGGTCCCTCCTTTGTGAACACATTTACTTGTTGCTCAATTCTCCAGTGTAGCTTTGCCTGAAAACACAGGCACTTTGTATGGATTTGAAGGCAGGAGGATAATTTCATATTTTTTAGCATGTCTTCTCCTATTAGGGCAGGAATTCTCTCATATTCATCTTTCACCAACGTTTCATTTAAGTCTAATCATTTTGACTTCTGCACATTAGCATTTCAATTTTAAAGACTTGAAAAAATATTAAATTTTATGTAAATGCAATTTTTCATGAACCTTGTTTATGAGGTAATAATATGTCAGAGACCATGTCGTGTTTACCAGTGCCTGGAATGTAGAGCAGCTTGGCAGATGTTTATTGAGCTGAATTGAAAAAGAATCAGTTGATATAAACTACTTTTACACGTGTAGTCATGTTCGACTGCATCATTGACTCTAAGTGTTGCTGGAAGAGGTTGCTGTGAACTCAGGAAGTTTTTAGAGTGGCTGGCCTTGACTTGAAGTATAGCTGGGCAGCTTAACAAGGGGAGGGGCTTTTCTGTTACGGAAACAACATAAGCAAAGATATGGAGGTGGGAGTAGAACATGTGGGAGTCAATAGAGCATGTTGACTTCAGGGAAGGTGGTGTTAGAGACAGGCCAAATGAAAGGAGGCCTTCAATACAGGGATTCGCGCCACTACTAAGGAATTTAAATATATGTCTATTCATATACATTCTGAGTCCTGTATTTGATAGATTGCTTCTTTATGGGATATTCTTTAAATAAATGTATTAACTCTGAAAGTTGTTCTTGTGTAACGGAACTATTTTTCAAAAAACTGAAATAATTTTAAAACTTTTATCCTCAGGATTCAAGTTCGAAATATGGCAACTTTGAAAGATAGTAAGTATGTTGTTTGTTTCAATATGTGAATTAAGAAAAACTAAATTTTGACAAATACAAATACTGTCAAAAATACACTGCTTTAGCCCATTGTATATTTGATCAAAACTGACCAAATGGATTTCCATTGTATGTTTGGGATGCTGGACTTGTTCTGAAAAGACCAGTAAGAAAGGACACATGAGAAAGCTGTGTTCTGTTGTCTGTAGAATGATTGTGACGTAACTAGAAAAAACTATACCAGTGTGGGTGTGGGTGGGTGTACGTGTGGGGAGGGGTAAATAATGTTATGGAATTATATATAAATAATGTTACGGAATATGTGGTTAAGGCAATTTTCAATACCATTTAATGTTTTAAATGTATATTATTGTCTTATGTTGCCATTTGCTTGTCCTAAGTAGTAGCTAGTCTTGCCTTCCTTTTATTAGTACTATTAAGACTGGTTTAGCATCATGCTGTTTATTGTTTATCTAAGTGCTCATTATTCTGCCTTGGACTTAGACAGATATTTCAATAAATTCACAATGAAGTTAGACGGTAATTCCTTTGTCTTAACACAGTACTTCTATTTTTCAGTTACCAGGAGACTAAAGTCCATCAAAAACATCCAGAAAATTACCAAGTCTATGAAAATGGTAGCAGCAGCAAAATATGCCCGAGCTGAGAGAGAGCTGAAACCAGCTCGAATATATGGATTGGGATCTTTGGGTAAGGGAAGAGTGTAATTCACAAATTAGGAAGAACTGTTTAACACAAAGAAGACTACTGATGACCTGTATCTAGAGCTTACAGTGATGTCAAGCCTATTCGAGTACTTGACATGTACTTATTTTTCATCTATATCCACCTGACACATAACGATAACAACCCATGCAGGTAGGAACTGTTAGAATCCCTGCTTTCCAGTGAGAAAAACTGAAGCACATGGAAGTTAAGTAACTTGCCTAAGATCACATATAAAAGGATGAAGAGCCTCTGGACCTATGTGGTTTGGTGTCAGAGCTTGTGTATTTGTTAACCATTATACGTGACCATGTTAACTTTTAAAATATTCTGAAATTTTCCCGGTTACTAAGTATACCATCAGAAGAACTTGGAACCATGCATTAGGTGCAAGGGCTTAATTTCATCCTATGACCTTGTAGTGTGGCATTTTAGGACTGCAGTGGGGGCAGGTAGGGGCATTGCAGTGGAGAGCTGACTGGGTGGTCATGGATATGACTCTTGATGGTGGTGTGAGACGAATCCGAATGATGGTGAAGCAGGAAAAGCAGCTGAGAACCTTCATTTTCAAGATACTTAATCACCATTCTTATCTTTTCAAAAGCATGAAGACATTTTTCCTTCAGAAATTTATGTAATCCATCCTTAATTAGTCTTCTTAATGGAAAAGAGATACGGCAGTTTAAAAAGAATTTATATTGTGTTTTTAAATGCTTTTATACTTATTTGATTATGAATTTATCTTGGAAATAAAATTGTAAAGAGCTGGAAATGGGAAAGAAGTTTCTGTTTTAACTTGTAATTACATTCTTTCTCTTACCTTTTTTATGATCATGCTATCTTATCCGGAATTGAGGGTATCTAAAAGAATTTTTAACTTAAGGAAGATTTATGCAAATTTGGTAGTAAAGAAAATCATGCAGTGAACCCCCTATTTATCTACCAAATCTTCAATAATCTCAGCTTACAGCTGTCCTTTGTTTGTGTGTGTGTGTGTGTGTGTGTTGTTTTTTGTTTGTTTTGTTTTTTGTTTTTTTTGAGATGGAGTCTTACTCTGTTGCCCAGACTAGCGTGCAATGGCACAATCTCAGCTCACTACAACCTCCACCTCCCACGCTCAAGCGATTCTCCTGCCTCAGCCTCCCCAGTAGCTAGGATTAACAGCCCCGCCACCACACCTGGCTAATTTTTGTATTTTTAATAGAAATGGGGTTTCACTATGTTGGCCAGGCTGGTCTCAAACTCCTGACCTCAGGTGATCCACTCACTTCGGCCTCCCAAAGTGCTGGGATTACAGGCGTGAGCCAGCGCTCCCGGCCTCAACTTATAGCTGTCCTAAGAACACTTGCTTATACTAGGCAGTTGCCAGCTAAATGTAAATGCATATTTTGAAAATAACCAACTGCTTTGTAAATTGGATATTTACTGTATTTAGTGTAAACTGCATATAAAACTTACTGCTTTTGTTTGTTTTTAAGCTTTGTATGAAAAAGCTGATATCAAGGTTCCTGAAGACAAGAAGAAACACCTCCTTATTGGTGTGTCCTCAGATCGAGGACTGTGTGGTGCTATTCATTCCTCCATTGCTAAACAGATGAAAAGTGAGGTTGCTACGCTAACAGCAGCTGGGAAAGAAGTTATGCTTGTTGGAATTGGTGACAAAATCAGAGGCATACTTTATAGGTAATTTAAATATATATTGTTTATTTTCATAAAGGTGCAAGCATGAATAAATCTTCTCGCAGAAGTTTTGACAAACTCTGAAATCCTTCGTCGATAGTTTAAGTAAACAAGGTATATTCTTCGGGGCCTTTTTTGGTATACTCACAGGGAGGTGTTCGTTTCCTTTTTTTTTTTTCCAGAATATATTGGAACATTTCTGTTTTCCTTCCCCTGTTTTCTACCTTTGCTTCTTCATCTGGATCATAAGTTGAGTGCCATGTGAATATCAAAAGCTATCAGCATTCAGCCAAATGAGGCATCTGAGGAGCTGTTCCAGCCTGGAAATGTTAGCAATAGTTCATTAGGATTAGAAGGAGAGGAATAAAGGCAAAACGAATATAAAACAAGACAGACCTCATTTTTAGTTCTTAGTTCTTTGCAGGTGCTGAGGGAAAGGAATTATGATAGTGTGTGGAACAACTCAGGAAATCACCAGCACCCACACCCCAAAAGACCTGATCCATGGTGACGATGTTTTCTCCTGCCCGTCCCCTGTGCTCTTTCAGAAGTGTTGTTAAACTAGCTATGTGAGCTCTTGCTTTTCTCATAGGACTCATTCTGACCAGTTTCTGGTGGCATTCAAAGAAGTGGGAAGAAAGCCCCCCACTTTTGGAGATGCGTCAGTCATTGCCCTTGAATTACTAAATTCTGGATATGAATTTGATGAAGGCTCCATCATCTTTAATCGATTCAGGCAAGAAAGATTTAGAAATCAAAGCTTTTTTTATGTTCATGTTTTTGTTCATATTTTGAAATAACAGTTTAAAAATTACTTTGAGATTTACATTTGCTTTTGTCAATTCTAGGTCTGTCATCTCCTATAAGACAGAAGAAAAGCCCATCTTTTCCCTTAATACTGTTGCAAGTGCTGGTGAGTAGTTTTTCTACTACATATATTTTTTGGCATGTAGAATGAAGAGATTTGTCCACTAAGGCAGACAGTGTCAAGATGTGTAGTGGTAGCAATAGCGCTATAGCAAATGATTTGGGGCTTTTTTTTTTTTTTTTTGACAGAGTCTCACTGTGTCACCCAGGCTGAAGTGCAATGGCATGATCTTGGCTCACTGAAACCTCCGCCTCTCGGGTTCAAGCAATTGTCCTGCCTCAGCCTCCCAAGTAGCTGGGATTATAGGTGGCCGCCACCACACCTGGCTAATTTTTGTATTTTTAGTAGAGTTAGGGTTTCACCATGTTGGCCAGGCTGGTCTTGAACTCCTGCCCTCAAGTGATCCACCTGCCTTAGCCTCCCAAAATGCTGGGATGACAGGTGTGAGCCACTGTGCCCTGCCGATCTGGGGCTGTTGAAGTGCCATCTCTTGACTTCCATGATACTTAATTCAGTCATTGTTCGACAATTCCTGCTCTATTCTGTCATTAATTGAACAAATTGGTATCTATTAAGGTTCATCATTAGATTTTTTGTCCTCAAGGATTGAAGAGCGTAGCTAGAAACTGGCTTTGCAATTCATGTTTGGGACCTCTGACTACAATACAACAGAAGCTCTAGAATAGAGAGTTGAACAGTGTTCACAACTAATTTACACTGACCGACCCAATTCTCTTGTTTTATTGCTGGAAGAAAGTCGTCATTGATCATTGAAGCATCCTGGAATAATATTCTAGAACTGATTTTAGTTTCCTAAGGCTTTTTCCCCTTGTATATACCATCTATTTTCATCTATTTTCTAATACTTCATTTATTTGCAAGTATGTACTTTACATGTTAATGTTTCTGAAATTGAGATGGCTCTACCAGCCAATGGAGTATCATTTGTAATAGAGTACATTTTTTTCTCTCTTAATGAGAAATAAAGTAGGTGTTACAACCAGTACCATTTTCAGTTTGATGAAATACAGTACTGTTTCACCACTTGACCCCAATGAATGAATTTTGAAATGTACTACTAAATTGCTACAACATTAAAACTACAATTCATATCAGTTTCTAGTTCTCCCCCTCTTTCATGTGCTTAGAAAGGTTTTCCCGCTCTCATTTTCCAGATTGATACATTCAGATTTCTTCAGTAATCAAATGACTAAGTTGGAATTATTGCACAGGTTGAGTATCCCTTGTGTAAATGCTTAGGACCAGAAATGTTTGGTATTTCAGAATATTTTCATATTTATAATGCAGTATCTTGGGGGTGGGACCCGAGTCTGTATACCTTATACACATAGCCTGAAGGCAGTTTTATGCAATGTTTTAAATAATTTTCTGCATGAAACAAAGTTTTGAATGCACCCCATCACACAAGGTCAGGTGTGGGATTTTCCACTTGTGGCATCATGTCAGTGCTCAAAATGTTTCAGATTTTGGAGCACTTCAGATTTTGGACTTTGGTATTTGGGATGCTCAACCTGTATTACACTATATTGGTTTCAATTCATTCTTTTTTTTTTTTTTTTTAATTGGAAAAAAGCATTGAGTGCTTGCTGGCTTTGTAACAGGCACATGCTAATGCTGTCCAGAGGGCCTCATAATCATGAAATGTAGTACAGTTATTTCAAATGTTGACTTAATTTTTCTAAAGTTATATGGAGTAGAATATCGAATGCTTTATTTACACATTATATTTTGCTAAAAATATGCTATCTATAGTGTGGAAATAGATGAAATTATTAGAACAGATTCATTTACCTTATCTTACATTAATTTCTGCTCTGTAATTATAAAGGAGTTTTACACTGAAAAGCTGTTTTTGATGAGTTAGTATTCTGTGTAATTTCAAAGAAACTGATCACTTGTTTTAACAGAGAGCATGAGTATCTACGATGATATTGATGCTGATGTGCTACAAAATTACCAAGAATACAATCTGGCCAACATCATCTACTACTCTCTGAAGGAGTCCAGCACTAGTGAGCAGAGTGCCAGGATGACAGCCATGGACAATGCCAGCAAGAATGCTTGTAAGTACACAATAAGGATGGTGCCAGCAGGAATGCTTGTGAGCACACAGTGAATCTCAGCTGAGAGGAGTCCATTGCCGAGAGTAGCATCAACAACATTAACTTAATATTCCTCTACCTGTAGGAAAGTATATCTTGATAGGTAGTTGATTTGCAAGTACTGTGAAAAGGTATCCTGTGGAAGATGTAAAAATATCTTCATAACATTTTTTGAGAGGCCAATTTTGTTATCCAAAAATCTCTTATTTTTAAATTAAGCAACAAAAGTTAGTTAACAAGTTATTCTTCTCTAGTTTCAGTTTTTTTGTGCAATCTTTTTGTTTTGTTTGTAGCTGAGATGATTGACAAATTGACATTGACATTCAACCGTACCCGCCAAGCTGTCATCACAAAAGAATTGATTGAAATTATCTCTGGTGCTGCGGCTCTGTAAGTAATTGTAGATTGTTGCCTTCAGAGAATTTTTTTTTTCCTCTTGCTGTGTCTGCTTGTTTGGATGCTTAAAAGTTTTTGTTTTTGTCTTTTGAAGTTGAAATGACTCATTGCTGAATCTTGCATCCTAACTCTTACGCTATGAAGATGTGGTAAAAATGGGATCTCTTTGGTTTATTTTTATTGTTTCAGCTGGAAACACTCGGGCTTAGTTTTCACTTTTCTAAAGCATTAGGAATGGGATGTGGATAATTCCGTATTATTTATGAAATCTTTTTTTGGAATTTAAACAATTGTAAGCTTTCTGAGTTACAGGGCTAGTTTCAGATTTGGTTTTACATAAATCTATAAACCATTGCATGTTGGGAAGGTCCAGGAATTTTTTAATCATTATGTTTTCTATGTCAGTACCAAAAGATAGTATAGCCATCCCTCAGTATCTGCAAGTGATTGGTTCCAGAACTCCCTCTCACCTCCCCCAGGATACCAAAATCTGAAGATGCTCAAGTCCCTGATATAAAATAGCACAGTAGTGCATATAACAAATGCACATCCTCTCATATACTTTTAATCATCTCTAGTTATAATGCTATGTAAATTGTTGTTGTATTGGTTTTTATTTTTATTATTTTATCGTTATTTTTGTCTTTTTTCCAAATATTTTCATCAGCTTTGGTTGAATCCATGGATACTGAGGGCCAACTATATACTGCTTTCCTCAAGAAAATTTCTTAGTTGTTGAAAAACTTTAATGTTTATGAAAAAAAGGTTAAGACAATGGGAATTTCAAAAAGTTATTAAGTTGAATACCCACTATGTGCACAGTACAGTGCTAGACACAGTGTTAAGGATGTGATTCTCTCTTTTAAGGCACTTATAGTCTAATAGGGTAAGAAACATACAAGTAATTGTGATTAGATAAAAATGGTGGTAAGTTCTTTTTGACTCGTTCCTTCTTACCTCCTACTAATCAGTTACCATGCTAAGTTTCACCTTCTGTCTCTTGAATCTTTCCCCTTCTTTATGCGCATTTAATGCAGATCCTTGTCATTTCTCTCCTGAGTTCAAAAAGGTAATTATTTGAGTGCCCCTTAAGTGTCAGGCCCTGTGCTAGACACTGAGAATATAGTGGTAACAATATTTGTTTTAACAGTAAAGACAGACACTAAATAAGAAATCACAGCAGAACAGAGGTTACTAAACTGTGGCCTGGAGCCAAGAGTGGTTTCTACATTTTTAAAGAGTTATAAGAAAAAAGTATCTATAGTGTGGAAATAGATGAAATTATTAGGGAGAATCACTTGAACCCGGGAGGAGGTTGCCGTGAGCTGAGATCACACCACTGCACTCCAGCCTGGGCAACAGAACCAGACTCCATCTCAACAACACCAAAAAAACTCTAAATATATTGTGTTAATTTATAGAAAAATTGTAATTTAAATTAGTATGTTCATAGTCTTGCCTACTTGCATGAGCATATTTTTATTGCTTCTAACCTGGATTGAAATCTATGACTTTTTATAACAGTCATTGAGTCTGTTTTAAAATAATCTTGTGGTAAGTATTTTTGCATGATATACTCAAGGCATCAAGTTTAAAAACTGACTTTATTTCATGGGAAAGCATATGTGATTAACCAGCATGGATTGCTTCTTAACCTGCTTGTTTTGTGTTTCTTTTTCTTCTAATACAATAACCAGGGATTAATGAAAATCAAGCTCCATCCTCAGACAAGAGGTAAAGTTCACACATTCTTCCCATGTCTGCTCAGAAAAGAAACCTATTCAGATATGAGTGAAGCTAATTTAGTAATCCTAGAAGTGTCCTCTGAGAGATTTAGATGAATGGGCCACTTTATAGTAGCAGCCAACTCACGGGAGCACCTGGGCAACGCTAGTGGACTTTTTCTGTAGTGAGTGTGTAGATCATAGAAAATGTAGATATAAGGAAATAAACTTTGAGGATAGAGAATTAACATTATTTTGAGACATTATATATAGGTGGTGAAGAGTGGTGGTTGTCACACTTTATGGTCTCAGGACCCCGTAATGTCTGATTGATTTCGCAGAAGCCAGCTAGATTTTCATCTCTCTCTATTCATTTTGTTGTGATGTCATGGATCATGTGGCCTCTGGGAAACGCTACTGTATACTCGAGAATGAGAATGAAACAGGCAAAATAACATTATTATAGACATAGTTTTACCCTCATGAACCCCATGAAAGGTTCCCCAGACCAAAATGTGAGAATCACTGGTATAGAGTAACACTTTATTGTGTAAATTCAGTTCTCTGTACCCCACTTAAATAGATATTAATATTATCTCTTGACATCATTATTTTCCCAAAAAATGCTGTTTGATTTTTTTACTTGTTCTGTACTTTGTTTTTCAGGTAAAGAAGGAAAATTCAGCCAGTTGATTTTGTTTTTAGCATACTGCTGTCTTTGTCCGAAGAAACTGTTCCTCCATTATTTGAATTACTGAAGACAGCAAGATATTTGTAAATTATCTTACAATAAACAACTTAAAATAAAATCATTGTTTTTCTTATATATAAGAACATTAGATATAGTTTTCGAAATGAGATGATACTAAAACATTTAAAAATATTAACATGCTACTATTAAAATTTTTTAGTAGAAGATAATTTAAGAGGTTCTTTTGATTTGATGGTGCTCCACTGACCTTAAAATGTCTAGCCTCTATGGGGACAAGGTAGAGGGAAAGCACTGCAGCCACAACCTCAGCCCGGTTCTATTCCTTATTACAGCCTTAAAGAACAGTCAACAAGGCGGGGCGCGGTGGCTCATGCCTGTAATCCCAGCACTTTGGGAGACCGAGACTCAAGGTGGATCACTTGAGGTCAGGAATTTGAGACTAGCCTGGCCAACATGGTGAAACCCCGTTTCTTCTAAAAACAAACAAACAAACAAACAAATACAAAAATGGCATGCACCTGTAATCCCAGCTACTCAGGAGGCTGAGGCAGAATTGCTTAAACCTGGGAGGCAGGGGTTGTAGTGAGCAGAGATTGTGCCACTGCACTCTAGCCTAGGCAACAGAGCAAGACTCTGTTCCAAAAAAAAAAATGCCACTGGACGCATTTGCTTGGAATTCTGGATACAAAATTCCAAGCATATACTGACTCTAAATAAATTATTTAAAACATCTTTTCCAAACACTGAGAAAAGTACGATATTCACATTTAGATCACAATTAAGATTAGATGCCTGCGTTGATTCCACACTGGAAGTTTTGGCCATGCCAAAATTTCAGGCTTTTCTCTATTTGTTTAAAATCGAAAACTTAAGTTTTTTTTTTATTACAAAAGTAATACATAAATTCCAAAATACATAAAATTATAAACAATGTAAAACCCATTATTAAGCTCTTCTTGACTTTTAAAAACAAATGAATGCATGTATTTAGAATGGATTCTTTAAATATTTACAACTACCTTCATAGTAATGAATAGAAAGAGTTAGTGAACTGATCAGAGCTTCAAGGTCATTTTCTAACTCCCCTCAAAGTTTTCAGGAGCCACTTCTGAAGGGGTTGGTGGCTGAGGCTAGGAGAAAGAAACAGCTCACAACTGAGGAATCAGATGGAGGTGTAGTGTGAACCAGTACCAGATACCTTTTGGGGAACATTAGCAATGAACCACATGCCTCTGGGGGCTTGTGTGTGTGTGTGTGTACACACGCCATTTCGCCCAGGCTGGTCTTGAACTCCTGGGCTCAAGTGATCCTCCTTAGCCCCGCAAAGTGCTGGAATGACAGGTGTGAGCCACCGTGCCCAGCCTGTTGTGTATTTTGCTTCTAAGCTTGGCTTGGCCCACCTCCAGTTTCCAGGACAGCAGAACACATCTGTGAGGGTGAATTGAGTGTCATAGACACCATGGAAGGAGGAAAAGCAGGAATTTGAAATCAGTCAATATAAGTAAGAATAATCTGTGCCTGAACTGGAATACTACTAGCTCAGCCCTTACCAGCAGTGACCTTGGGCAAGTTACTTAATCTTTAAGATTTATCATTTATAAGATGGAGATTAAAAGGTCGTTAGGATTAAATGAGCTAATATTTTAAAATACTGAGAATCTAACAGGGAATAAGTGCTATATTCTTGGTTAAATGTCTGCTCTATGTAAAAGTAATCGTCAGCTCCATGTAGCATTTAGTGGTGCTCTTCTGTGTACTGGCACTCTGACTCTCTGAAGATACAGTGATAACAAAACACTTCCTTGCAGGAACTTACAGTCTGGAAGGAACACAAGCAAATGACAGAATGCGGTAAGTTACAACTGGTGAGCCACAGAAGAGACACTGAAGGGGCATGAGAAGGCCATCCAGCCTGGAGGAAGGGAGGTCTAGACAGTCCTCAAGGACCAGTGACCAACAGTAGAAATTAAATTTACTAGAGCTAACTGGTGGGGAGGGAAGGCATTTCAGGCCAAGGAAGCAGAAAAAGCAAAGTCCAAAATCTGTTCGAAAGCACATTCTGAAAACTGCTAATACAGAGAACGAGAAAGGCAAGATAAATCTGGAAATGCTGTGTGGTTTAGACATGTAGGAAGGAA